CCAACATGTAGAGCAATCATTCAGCCACATTTTGTATGGTAGGTCATTTATGGTCATTATTTGGTATTGCAAATCAGCTTCATGGAGAAAAACAAAGCAAAAAGCAACAAGGTAGTTCCTCTGTCCTTGCTAAAGGAGACCAGAGAGAAGTCCGAGCTCTGAGGCCGCAGGGCCGGGTAGATTAGCTCAGTGCTCCCACAGGGAACACTGTCTGACCATCTCTACACTTTGCAGTGCTGTAAGCTTTGTGTCCCCCCACTTTCACTCCAGGCAACAAGCCAGGCAGCTTTGAAATGCACTAACCTACAGATGACTACATTAGACTGATGCAGGTACCTGTCCTTTCACACTCGATCCACTGTCCGTGTGCAAAAGGTTTTTTGTTTTTTTTTAAAAGACAAATTCCTTTCTCCTATTTTAACGCAAGAACAAAAATGGAAGGCTGTCATATTAAAGTAGCGTTATGTTCTTGTTCATCATGTCCATGATACCTGCAAACAATGCATTTCTTTTTAAAGGAGGGGAAGGAGGAGAAGGGGCAATAGCATGAGAGGAGGGAATTTTTGTTTTTTAGTTTTTTTAGGTCAAGTGAACTGTTTGATGAAGTTGAGAGACCATGCAAGTTCAAAATCCATCCACCCAAACACCCAGGCCCCTCTCTGCCAGTGTACGGTTCACAGATATAACCTGCAAAAAGAAGACCAACAGTCAGTGAATCACTACAGTTAAAACCAATTCAGGATGCCTTATGCATTTATGTGTGTATATTGTGTAATATCAGTAATCATCTCTCTCTCTCTCTCTATTCTCTTCTACGTTGTCAGTGTTCTGATGGATTATCGGATGATTTAAAGAAAGTGTGTTTGAGACCAGTCGTTTAAAGAGATCCCAGCCTTTACTCTCTGGGGTCTTTCTAGCTGGGAACAACTCAAAAAAATCAAATACATTGGAAAAAAAAAAAAAAAAAAAAAGATACTTGTGCTTGCTGCCTGAGGTTTTGGGCATCAATTAAATAAGCATCATTGTCACCAATTAAAAAAAAAAACAAAAAACAAAAAAACAACAACAACTTTACACTTAATTTAACTTTAAATCAATCAAATCATTTTAAAAAAGTTGCATCATAGCAGTGCATATTTGACTATCCCAGACTATGCTGGGGAAAGAGGGGAAGAAACAAAATGATCAGTGACTTGTGTCTTAAAGGAATAGGATTAGAATCATTAATTAAGATATTAGAGGTACAGAGGTAACATGAAAACAGCGGCAAGGATCCAAGACTTATGTCATACCTCCTCTCCAACCATGTTCCACAGGTGGACCAGCGGGAGGCCTGTGTTGTTATCATAGCTGGAGACCTTCAGCAAAAAAACAAAACAAGAAAACCCCCAAAGCAAACACGCAACTTAGTAATGCCCAACTTTTCTACATTGCAAAAAGTCACTGAGAATGGTGGTCTCACCTGCGCAAGCAATGGGACTCCTCTGGTCATTTCCTCCAGCTCTGATGTGGCCTCAGCTGAAAAACGATCCTCTCCTGATCACAGACAATTTAAACACATTTCAGAACAACACAGGAGGTATCCTTCCAGCAAAAGAGTATCTGCAGGTTTCATAAGGCAAAGTTTATACTTTGTTTTAACAAATTGCCACTGACATTAGGTAGGTACACCACTATCTCCCCAAAGACTTTTCCAAACTGTACCTGGTAGTGGTGCAATGTTGTCGAGTAATACTTCAGCACCTTGAAATGGTAGTGTCACAAAGTCAGACCTGGAAAATAACAATGAGCAGACTTGGACTAGTGTATATACACTTTGCAGTTTAATAAATATATTTTTTTCGACTGCGCTAAATGATAACGTGACCTTTAACACTAGCTACACTGACTGTCTAACTTATAAAATTATTCTCAATATACTTATTTTGTCAACTACAACACACAAAACAAATTCTGCTGATAATCTTCTTGAATTTGCCTAAAAAGATTTTTTTCCACTAGCAGACCTTTTCTCAAACAGCTAGAGAAATCTGTAGGAACTCCTTGTATATCCAACCACAGCAAACAGTCTAACTACAGACTGACTGATTCTGAAGACAAACATTTGGTTTGGCAGATTTTTCTCACTCTGTCGCACACACGCACGTCATGCATTATTCAGTTATGCTTTGCACAACTTTGGTCATATCAGTTGTGTTACTGAGTATTTCTGCTTCAGTAAGAAATCCATGCTTTAGCTACATTGTAACCACAACCTGCTCTGAAATTCTACACCACAACCTATTATGCAACCTGATGTGCATTTCTTAACTACACATTGGTCAGCAGCATTGAGGCAATCTGCTCCATACTCCAGAAGCTTATTATGCATTTCTGGTTACTTTCAGTTTTTGATAGTTCATTTATATCGCTTTTCTACTCTGAGCACTAAAAGCACTTTACACAACTTGCCTCATTCACCCAGTCACACAAGCACTTTTTTTCTTTCTAAGCTTTTAGTGCTTTCTATCCAACATTCACACGCTTTCATATTCTGATGGATGCATCAGAGAGCAACTTGGGATTAGTATCTTGCCCAAAACTATTTGGCATGCAAACTGGACCACCAACCTTGACCAGGTGGCCTAGTAGCCACCCCCAAATATTACAAATAATAAATTAATGTCTCCATAAGCTGCTCCATGAACCACCACTTTATCATGGTGGAGGGGTTTGTGTTCTAGTGATCCCAGAAGGTATGCTGTCAGGGGCAAGTTGCCCCCTGTTACTGTTTCCCCATGGCAAATTAGTCCTGAGTGGAGGGTCAGACAAAGTGATTCAGATAACCCATATGCAACACAAATTAGGGTCCAGTGTCCCTGCACTGAAACCAGGTCTGTATCCTCTCAACGACATTCAAGGGTGCATAGGCGTTTGCCCACCCAGTCTACATGAGTTTTGTTAACCTGGAAATGGGATTTGACTGCATCCCTCGGGGTTTCAATGGCAAAAAGCTCTCAAGGCCAGAGGATTTCATCTTCATTTTTGCACATAATGCGGTTCTGTTGGCTTCACATCACCTCCAAGCCCTAAACCATGGCTCACAGGTAGAAAAGGGCAAAGACTGGAAAAGTGCCCCATACGGGCCAGGGATGAGTTACTTGAAATCCTCCAGGAAGTGATAGTATCTATGGGTCTTGCTGACACTTGCAAGGAGAGGGGAACATTTCCTTTAACGAGTGACCGGGCTCTCCCTTGGAGATCGAGTGAGGAACTCTTTCTTTTTTCAAAGTAGAGCTGCTGAAAGGACACTGAAATGAGCCAGTTGAGGTTGTTCAGGCATCTGACTAGCATGCCTGCTGGATACCTCCTAGGTGCGGTATTCTGGGCATGTTCTACTGGGAGGATTTCCTGGGACAGACCCAATACTCACTGGAGAGATAAGATCTCTTAGCTGGCTTGGGAACATCTGTGTCTGACAATACAAGCTAGAAGAGGAGGTCAGGGTGAAGGAAGTCAGGGCTTCTCTACGACCAAAATCCATAAATACACATAAAACACTGGGACACAACCACAAGGTAATTAGCAAATAATGCAGCATTGAGTAATGTTGTCCATTCATGTAGATTCACTCATAGGCTCTACAAAGTATTACTACAGAAGTCTAACTCAGGCCTTAGAACCTGTTGCCAACAGAAGTAGAATACCCTCTGGTGGATAAACTCTACAACATCAACAACCATAATTTTTGTGCACCTTTATTTATTTGCTATTATAAATGTGGATATATACATACAACTAATACCAAATGGGCTAACCTTACCTTTCAAAAAACTCCATAATTTCAGGTTAGGGCATTAGAAAGTTCAAGAACTGAGTGTGCCCCACAGCAAAAAGTTTTGATGTGGGAGAGTGGGTCATCTACTAATCAGAACATTGGCATTTTTATTCCCAGCTTCTCTAGTCTGCATGTTGGGATAACTTTCTGCAGCAACTTTACCTTGCAGAAGATTAGTTAGTTTCTCGCTGACTTTGGTATTTGTAATACCTTTTTATTTGATTCAGAATTAAGAAGTGTTAATGCCAGAATCACACAACAACTAAACTGTCTGATCAGCAAATGCTTTGTTTGGGGATGGGAGGTAATTACTGGCTGTTCCAGTCTGCATGCGTAATATCTACCAAGTTGCTCTTGAGGAGCATGAATGTTAGATAGAAAGCACTTAAGCACAGGAAAAAAAGTGCTTGTGTTAGTGAGGCATGTTTTATAAAGCAAACACTCTAAATGACGCCATCTTAGAATACAAGTTTTAATACGGTGAGATCTCTTATAATAACCTTATTTGCCGTAGTGAGTCAATCTTAACTCTGTCATAGCCTCCATAGTCAACGTATCTGATCTCCACTTCATTTGATTCTTTGTAGAAGGTGATGACCTGAGCTCTCCACCAGGCTCCTTCAACTGCAGGAGCTGCACAGATCACACCAACTGGATAACAGAAAAGAGACAAAAAACAAAAACAGAATAAAAGCTAAAAGTAGCTGAATGACCTTTACCAAATTAGCTTGTTGTTAAGAAGTTCTGAAAACAAAAACAAATCACTGCATGTGACAATTAGCTTATTTCAGCCATGTATCAAACTGGGTTACTTTCATGTAGAAAAAGAATAAACAAAAGCACAGGGACCTTGTTAGTTTACTAAAAATGTATTTGCAATTTAAAAAAAACTAAACAAAACTTGCTTAACTAGAAAGCTGAGCTAAGTGAACTACAGCTTCACCGATGCAGTGAAGATTATTTTAAATTAAATGTCAAAGTTTCATTAAAACAACCTATAGTTGCGCATGTTTACTAAAATTTTACACAATTAGCAGTATCCACAGTACAACTAAGCTTACTTTCAGCAGGTGAGGGCAAGGCAGGGGTGCCTGGCTGTGAGTAGCAAAGGAACATCTGCTGGTCAAGGCTTCGCAAGGCATGGTACGTGGGGTGGGTGTGTTGCTGGACAAAGACGTGACCAGCTGACACGATGTTCACCACTATCACTTCAACTGTGACTCCACTTGGAAGGAGAAGCTGAGAAGACAAATATCAAACAAATGTTGGTCATGCATAAAACTACAAACAACTCTCTCAAACCTTAAATCAATGCAGTCTCATTTATATTTTATATCAGCATACCCAAATAATTCATCACTCTAAGGACTTAAAACACTTTAGCTTTACTACTTTAACGCTAAAAATGTATGATGAAGAATAAGTATGATGTTTCTAGTCCTTGTAATACATCTGAATCAAAATATTCTTATTAATGTTCATAACTGGTTTATGCTTAAGTTAAAATTAACAAAATATTTCTTCAAGTCACTTGGTGTTAAATGAAAAGAACAGCATGATGCAGAGCTTCACACAGAGGTTTGCTTCCATACCGTTTCTTCATCTACTATGCTTTCTAAATAATACCAATTCACCTGAATCCTTAATAGTGACCAATGACACACACACACACACACACACACACACACAAACTTTTTTGCTAGGCCCCACTTTGTTTTACAAGAAAGAAAAAAAAAAAAAAGGCCCCCCCGCGCACGCACAAACACATCCTCCAACCACACACACCCATAATAAATTACAAGTAGTAATAAAATAAACTACTCTTTTAACTCTTTTACACTACATCCACACCTACACGGGTATTTTTGAAAACACAGCTGTTTCGTCCACACGTGTGGACGAGGAATACAGAGTTCGTCACGCAATGTCAAAGGTATGTGCCTTTTTTCACGTCACGCTGTGCACCGCGTTATTGTTTACATGAGATGAATTGCAGAATAGCAGATAGACGAAATACTGTTAATCTGAATATCTGCTGTTTTACACGCTTACATACACACACGCAGTTACTGTCCCTCCATTTACAAAGGCAGAGGCGTCACCGTGTGATTATTTTACGTGTAGTTGTTTTTTTCCTGTGTAATAATATTCAACATTGTTATCAATACATTTTTCAAAAAATGCCTCTCTGTGCAAAATGGGTTTAAAAACAAACAGCTGTGGGATCCTGTTTGTCCGTGATTTGGACTGGGGGAACAAATCATGGCAGGATCAGCCTGATATTATTTGTATCCCGCTGTAACTTTACTGTATAAAGAGCTAACATCTCCGAAATGTCAGGAGTAGTTAGTCATTACAATAAGTGTTTGTGAACTAAAAATCAAGAATGAGGGATACAGTTTGTCTGTGATATGAAGAGCCCAGTGCTGCTCCCAACGAAGGGAAAACCAATTCTGAAGGGGAGACCTACCTTGGCACTTGTGCAGGTGAAACCAAAGGGAAGACATGCTTCACCATATTTTCTAGTCTTTGGCTTAGAATGAAGTTGGTTTGGAAACATATTCAGCGATGCTTCATCTCCTGCTTTGCGTTTCTGTGGGCACCCCGTGCTAGCAGTGTCCAAGAGTGTTTTTCTGTGTTTGTTTTTTGCCTTTTCATACCGCGCACCCCCTGCAATGGCTCTGCGCCCTCCCTAGGGGGCGGGCCCCAGACTTTGGGAAGCTCTGTCATAGTCCATTATTACTCAAACAGACAATCACTGTGGTCGTCTTCCATAAACAGTTTTTGAAGAACTGTACAGTTACACCAACATATTTATAACAGAGGGACAGACAGGGTATAAATTAGCACTATAAGCAGGTGAGGTAATGTTAATGGAAAACCCAGGACTAAATTTGTAAACATTTTTTCTTAGGCAAAATGAAAGAACCCACAGAACTATTAAAACAAATGATGGAAAAGATGGAACATGTCCCTGCTAACTAACATTTATGAAGTGATGCATTCATACACGTCTTCATGACTCAATTTCTCAAGTCTAAAGACTGAGCTGTGTGTAAAATGGGAAAGCAGTTTCAATGTTGTACAAATGTATTCATTTTCTGTAAATGATAATGCAAAAGGAGAATATAAAATAGCTCTCTTTAACTTACAATAATCATAGTAAAAATACTGGCAGCAGCCAGTGCGACCCCTCAGCTTCCTGGTAGACATGCCTACGGTATCAGTGTCAAAATCCTATGTTGCCTTGTTCGAGGTTTCACATTCACAAGCGTTTCAGAGTTTGACCTTAGGCCTTGAGGTCAGGGTCACTGAGATTCAAAATTATACAAGACTTTTAGTAGATACACCTATGGTATCAGTTTGAAGCTCCTACATCGCCTCGTTATCGCATTCACAAACTTGGGTGTCTTTTCCACATGCTTGCTCGACGGAGTGACAATATCCCATCCGCCTTACAGTGGAGGGGTAAAAAAAAAAAAAAAAAGTATCATTAACACAAGTATTTTTCCTCACCCATGAAGTCATGGGAAGAGATGGTAATGTAAGTGGAGGTGGTGGTGCAGCATATAGATTGTTGAGGTCCAGGTCTTTAAATTTCTTCCCAATCAACGACAGGGCTTTGTCAACCTGCTGCTGTGTCCCTAGAAAAAGATCACGCAAGGTCAAATTTTACCACTAGTCCAAACGAACAAGTAAGAAACAGGAGTTTAAAATGCTTGTGCTTTTCTCCTATGGTCAAAATCACATTTGTTCACAAATCTCTAAAGAAGATGGAAAGATGTGGGGACAAACCCCTCAGTACTCACCTTCTATGTGACAAATCTGGAACTCCTGTGTATAAGGCAAGGTAGAAATGTAGATCTTTGCTCCAGAGTTCTGCTTTAGGAAACTCACATATCGACCTTGCTTTCCAATAAGCCTCCCTACAAGATGCTGGTACAACAGGACAGGTAGAACAGACAATGCTGAGTAAACAGGACAGTTCCTTTAAACCGTTTAAATGAACATTTAATCAAACCCACTAGCATGCTGCCTACCAAGTTATGACAAAATATTTTAAATACGCAATATAGACAACTGCTCAGCTTTGAAAACGCATGTCACGAAGCCCAGTTTGTTTGCTAATGTTAATGTCAGAGGATATTCAGAATTCTAATGTGATTGTAACTAGAGATGGCACGATACCACTTTTTTATGTCCGATACCGATACCGATATCATAAATTTGGATATCTGCCGATACCGATATGAATCCGATATAGTGTTTTTTAATCAACAAAACTGTTTTTTTAAATATCTTGCTGCATTTTGAGTTCAAGTTCATACTCAAGTTTAAAACAACAACTACACTAAAGCTATTCTGTTATACCTGTATACAAAAAAAAATATTTCATAGTTCAGCAATACTGATCAATCTAATAAACTTAGACCTACACCATCCTCCCTATTCTGGTATTTTAAAGAGTACTTAGCGTAAATATTAAGCAACCTAACTAATAGGGTTGCAACTCCCAGCAACAAAAAAATAAAAAATAAAATAGGGAACCACCCCTCCCTCACCTCATGATGCTTAATCGACGTAATCAACCTTAATTTGATGCAGTGTGAAAAAAAATGCACAGAAATCAATTATTTTTCAAGAATAATTAAATAGATTCAACATCTTTCTTCAACAAAATTGCAGACTGCACAGATGGTACCTTCCCAAAGGAAAAAGTACTATAGCTTACTAGGGTATATATATTAGACTTAATAGTCACTATATACAGTAATTGACTTCTATTCATTTTACATCAAATTAAAACTTTGGGTGTCAGATAATTATTTATTAAAAGCTAGACATTTTAAATGGAATAAGAAAGAAAAGTATGTCTTTGTGCCCCCTTTTCCCAGTTAATGCCCTATCGGCCCCCCTGGCTAAACTTTGCTAGATCCGCCCCTGCACAGTTACCAGCCGTCAGCTACGTAGAAAAAGATCCTGGTAGAAAGTAATATTAAATACATTCTAACAACAGCTTATCAAGCTTAAACGTGCTGCTGTTGTTCAGCCGCTGGTTTCCTCTTTCTGGTGCAAAGTGGCCAAAAACAAACAGAGAGGACTCGCGACAGAAAAGCCGATCAGCTGATCATTTAAGCAGTTTCACGATTGAAGTACCAGCCGGAGAGCGAGAGGCAGTCGCTTCGTTAAGCTTAACGCAGGAATGCTTTACAAACATTCAGAGAT